GGGTAGAATCCAACCTATCAATCAGATACATCACAACCCAATGATGCTGCCTTGGGCCTTCTTATAACAGTAGAAGACTGGGAATCTCCCCCCTCCCTTCCCCTCCCTCTCCCTGGGAGCTGTGTACCCGGCCACGTTCCCACCAACCTTGTTTTCAAACTGCTCTGTACCCACTGGCCAGTGATCTTCTCACATTCTGCAGCCTTGCACGTGGCTATGTAGGTCTGAAGATGGACTTACGGACTAGCGTCAGACTTCGGCGCTTGAGTTGGACCAGTCTGGGGTGCCTTTGTGATATGTCATTTCTTCTTGATATAAAGCACTTTCTTAGACATAGAGGAGTGTCACCAGATTTGTTTTCTATAGACAGCTTGGTCTAACACACCTATTTTAACATTTTAAACAGCAACAAATCTTGTGCTAAAACTAAACCGTTCTATATTTAATTTCAATTAAAATTTTCTACTTTGAATATGTAATTTGCCTTCTCATTTCACAGATGTTGAAATTGACACGCAATATAGTTACGGTGTTTGACTAAAGTCTGACTAGCTGATTAGTGACAAATACTATGGCCCAAATGTGGATTGCCAAATCACTAATATTTGTGAAGATACTACATATATATTGACAAGCCTATTTTGCTCTATAAACATCTATTTCATTATTAGAGTGATTTTATTCTAAAGTTTCATGTTACTCATGATTTTCATCCAGAAAAATATTGTTCTAAAAGGAATTTTATTTTAACTATAAAGATGCCATGGGAGTAAGACAGGGACTATATCGCTGTGAGGGACGATTGTCATTGTTGAATTGTCTCACTGGACATATCTGTTCTTTGATGTTTTTAACTACATAAATAAAATAATTTCTTTTTTATGTATTATTTAATCTTTTTGCTTGATTTCCTTAGACCCACACATGATTTTATAAAACTACAGCACTGTCCTTAGTTTCCTTGTCTCTCCCTGTTAAGCATTCCTCCTATATCGGCAACCTTTGTACGCCACCTGTATCACACTCCCTTTCAAGTGTCTTTTTATTAACACAATATTATATAGGCACACACCTACATAAACCCATATTTCTACATTCACAGTGGGTTGTTTATTGTGGATAATTGTATATGAATTCTCCACACCTTGTTTTTGTATTTTTGTTTTAAAATACCTCTTGGGAATGCCTGCAAATCCTCTGGAGTCTAACGGGTGTATATTTTACTCTCAAAATCTGACATCATGTTGTGTATATACCATCATTATTTAGATTTGCTCTCTTATATCCATGTTTCTATCTATGGAAAATGTTGCTTTAAGTACACAGCGTTACATCTGGCATTTCCATCTCTGTGGACAGATCACATGGAGAATTGGTGTGAGAGGCTTTATTGTTTTTATAAATAACATTTTTATAAATTTTGCCTATTTTGAACTATATTGTGTAGGAGGCCTCTCTTCCAGAAGGGGCTTTTTATAGATAGCTTCACATGGGTAAATAGAACTCATTCTGACACAAATGTGCAGGCTGCTTTAGGAGATTTTCCTAGTTTTTATTGGCAATCCCTGAAAGGAAAGTACTATGCAAATGTGCTGGTGGTCTCATGGAACATAGGATCTGATACAAAGAACAGAAAGACAATGGTTTTTAGATACCACAGAGACTGCCTCCACAATGATCCATTGCCTTGGTGCCAAGATTCCGAGAAATGTTGTGGTTACCTTGAGATTTTTGAGGACAGGCAGTGAAAGTATTTCCCAGGAAACAACTCCCTTTGGTCAACATTTTAATATCCTAACCAAGCCAATAAGTGAAAGTCATTCTTATTCAATCTTTGTTCTATGAATAAATAAGGAAGAAGCTGCACTTTGAAATAGCCTTGGCAACTGGGGAAGAATAATTTAAATCTTTGTCATTTTTTATATGTTTTTGGATTATAAATCTTACTGTGTTGTATTTCTCTTCCTAGATAATTCACAGAGCAGTCTATTTCCTACAGAAACCATTTCAACCTCTTAAGTATGGCATTCAAAGCTTTTGATAATTTTAATTTTTCCAGCTTTTTCAGGTTTTACCCAGTAGCCTACTGGGAGCCTTATATATAGGTGATTTGCTGATTTGAAGTTTGCCTCCACTTAGCACTTCCCATCTTCGTTGGCATTACTTTTATTGTTCTCTCTACTTATAATTCATTCTTTTCCTCTACTGCATTTATTAATCCTGTGCATCATTCAAGGAACAACCTAAATTTTTTTTCATGAAACATTCCATGGTTGATTAAACTGTAGGTCCTCACTCTTAATGCCATATTTCTATCACATTTTGGTAATGTTTATATTTTGTCTATATATTGTTCTCACTGTGAGAACAAGCACCTACATACCATGGGGACCACAATTTTTTATGCATTTATTTATTATAAACCAAAAATCCCACTCTAATCTAGTCGATTCAAATTAATGGCTATTGACTAGAGTAGAGCTGCCCCATAGGTTTCTGAGGATGCTCCATTTCCTGCAAACAAAACGAAACATCTTCCCCCTATCTACCTAGTCTACTGTCAGTCAGAGTGAAGCTATGTAGGACAGGGTGAACCGCACCCATGGGTTTTCAAGACTGTACACTTTTAGGGGAGTACATAGCCTCATCTTTCTTCCACAGAGCAGTTTTGGGATTCAAATTGCTAATCTTGTGGGGAGCAGCCCAATGCATGACCCCCTATGCCACCGGGCCTCCTATAACAGTTACTGAGGCTCTTAAACCACTGCACCACCAGGGATCAGTTATTTATTATAAAGAGAAAGTATTTTTAATGCTTTGTCCATTTCTAGGAACATGAGAAAACACTGATAGGAATATAAATATTGAGGTCAGTGGATTCTTGAGAAGTATGGAGGCTTGATTTTATAAAATCAAAAGCCATAAAACTATTTAGTTTATAGCAATTTATCAAAGATCATCATAAGCAAAAGCTTAATAATGCGATATGGATATAATTTAATTTCCAGTTAATATCTTGCATTGTAATGAAAATAAGCGGAAGCACATTTAATATTTTCAGGAAAATATTTTTGGTTATTGACCATACTCCAGACACACAAGAGGAAATAACTGAAACATGAGCAAAAAAGCAGAAGGAGAATGAAATAAAGTAAGAATACTGCTAAACTAAAAATGCTTTTGAGACCATGAAAGAATTATAAAGGCAGCAGATCCTCAAAGTTCCAAATATATTTTTTAAGATCTAATCTGAATATTAGATATATACATGTGTGCATAATTATATATACGTGTCATTGCTGCCATGCATGTTAAACATGATTAATAACTTTATTTTGGTCATTATTAATTACTATGGTCTCAAGATAATTTGGGGAAGAGTTTACTTTCACAAACATTAGGAAAAACAAACTAGATCTTGCAGAGAAGTTGCATAATTGAAAGAAAATAAAAATGTGCCTTGCCATCATTATTTGACTGCACTGTGAGAACAAAAGGGAATCTGTTTATAAAAATGTACAGTCTCCAAAACCCACAGGTGCAGTTCTACCTTGTCCTTTATCGGGTCACTATGCGTCACAATAGACTAGATACTTGGTAGTATCTGTTTGATGATTGATTGATAACTATATCAGGAAAAATTATCAGGCCAGAACATACAGATTTGTTTTCCTTCTGAGTTAAATCATTCAATTTACTTGAAACAAGTGTGCAAAAATAATATAGACCTATATTTTAAAAATAGACAAAAGTGAAGAATTATAATACACACCTATAGAGAAAATACCTGCTTACCACCAGTATAACTATTGAAATATTTGCTTTATTGGTTTATATTAAAACACATGTTTCAGATAGGCTGTGAAGTATAGAAAAGTTTGATTATTATGAATTATATATTTTATTGAAATTAATTACAAACGGTTCAGGGTTTTACATAATAATTCACCCCTCAATATTTATGAAGATCTGGGTGAGGTTAGTGTTATGATTGCATGCTATAGAAGAATAAACTAAAATACAGAAGGTTTGAGCTATTTCCCTACAAATGGTAGTTAATTACATTAAAGAACTGGAGAAAATGTTCTAAAACTGTCGTTACAATTATACAGATGTTTTTGAAGTGATTGAACTACTGAATTGTATGATACATGACTTATATACCAACAATACTGTTAGGAAAAATCCAATTCTTTTCCTATGACTTTCTCTTTTAAGGTCTGGGTCCAATATTTGACTAAGCTAGAAAAACAGCATTATGATTAACTACATAATTTTGTAATTTCAATTTTTAAATTAGAACATCCATCATTTTAAAGTTGTGCGATTGCAATATGAAAAAAAATGCGGTGGGGGGAGGCTCTGTGTGTGTGATTACATGCTTGTCCACATGATTATCTGTGTGAAGGGGGTAAAATGTCTTTCATTCATAGTTATTAAAAACTGTTTAAATTCCCTGAATTTACTGACTTATTCTCACATAGGTCTTGTTACTCTATCTCTTTACCATTGTGGTAGAGTCTCAGATTGAATAAGTGAAAGAAAGTGCCTTTCAATGGGTTTCTGGCAGTACTAACCAGGGTAAGCGACCTCCTCTCTGGTCATATGATATCCCGAGGTTTGTTCTTTGAATGCTAAAGCCTAGAACTCTGAGATAGTTTAGTCTAGACAATATTGCTTGCTTTCACATTACATAAAGCAGGATACTGTCATGGACATTTCTGTTTTTCAAGACTACGGTAAAGAAAGTTCTGGTAATCAATCATCTGGTGTCTTTCTGGAGCTTAGATAATGCTGATTGTGATACAAACTTTTGTTACAAAACTGTTCTCTTTTATAATTGTCTGCTTAGAAGAAAGAGTAACAAGCAATATCCTAGTAATTAGGCTTCCAGTTATAGAAATTTAACTAAAGCTTGAGGCTTCGGACAAAAGGACGATGTCTTCTGTGGAGAGGATGAATGCGTGGGGGTCTCTCATGCCTTTTCTTCTGTTAGACAGGACTACGAAGAGCTGGCAAAGCAGCTGAAAGAAGTGTTTAAGGAGCGAAGCTCCATCCTCCGGCAGCTGACAAAGACATCAAGAGAGCTCGATGGGATTAAAGTGAACCTTCAGGTGAGATGGAAACTGATTTTCCCAGCAGCAAAGGACAAGTCACTCGATTTGCCTCAGTGGATTAACATGGAAAGACTTCTGCATTTGAAAATAGTTTTGAATATATGTCTTGATCCAACCATAGCAGTTATTATTTATTATTATATGAGCTTTGAGAGGAAATGTCATTTGAAATGCAGTCTGGGAATATGCGGTTTGCAAATACAAGAGAGGAAATTGTGTGCCTGGCAAAGCCATCGTTTCCTCACAGCTTCTGAGATCAATTTGACCTCTGCTTTTCATATTATAAAATGATGAAAGTTAATTATGGCCAAGTGTTAAATGAATTTGGGAATCATCTCCAGAAAAGAATTTTAAATTCCCTTCAGGATAATTCTGAAGATTCTTTAATAAACCTCACGACTGAATGGGTAAATGCCTCAGAAAATGGCAGGGCAGCAGTGGTAATGCATTCAGATTTAGTGAACTCTCCATCAAAAGGAGGGGGAAATCAAAGAGAAGATCTGTAAACGATACGCTAGGTTGAAAATAGATGAGTTGTTTTAACATGGAACTGAGACATGGCATGTATTGACTGGAAGCATCTCTGGTGGCGTTATGGTTATGCTGTGGGCTCCTCTTTGTGAGTTCAGCTGTTTGAAACCAGTTCAAAACCATCAGGTGCTCCACAGGGGACCGATGCGGAGCTTTCTGTGCCTATAGAGATTCCCAGTCTCAGAAACCCCTCAGGGCAGTTCTGCCCTGTCCTACAGGGTTACCACCAGTCACAGTTGAGTGGATGCCAGATGAGTGTGGTTTTTGGTGTGCTCTGTGCTCACAACTTTGCATGTATTTTCTAATTTAATTTTCATAATATATTTACCAAATGAATAATATTATTATTTTTCATGTTTTAGCTACTGAATCAGTTATTCCTGAATGTCACAAATCTTCCTAGTTTCTTAAAGTAAGAAGAAACTGAAATTCACTTGTTCACTGTGGCTTTACACAGGGTTTCTAAGAATGTAAATCTTTAGGGCAGCAGGCAGCCTTCTTCTTCTCTAGTGGAGGGACCGGCGGTTTGAACCACCTGTCTTGTGGTGAGGTGTCCAATATCTAATCCACAGGCCATCAGGGATCCTTCAGGGCTATCCTAATATGATATCAAAGAATGGAGGATATGTGTATAGAGTCTATGACTGAAGCACTGTCAAAGGGTACCTGAATGATCAAAAATTGTATTCCCTCAAATCAGGGTCTCAGGTCATATGTGTTTTTTGCGGGGGGGCTTTGACAGTAAACTATATCAGGCCTTCATAAATTCTGCTGGCTATTCATAACCCTGTCATTCATTTGCTGTGTGTAGATGCATCTGTCTTCCTGGTAACCTGGGAGCTGTCCCCCTCAGACTATATGGTTTTGTTTCCATAGCTGTCCTCCTTTTTTTTGTAACATTGTTCAGAAGGAATTAAGAGTTGGACTCACCTCTTCCACGTAACATCTACAGAGTAGAAGCCCATTTCCTCAAGCAAGCTCCCATTCACATGGGTTAAGACAGGGGAGCACACGCTATAATCCCCAGTCAAGCCAAGCCAAATTGACTGCCATCGAGTTGGTGCCCAACCATAGCAATGCCACTGGGGGCTTCTGAGACTCTGTGTATGGAAATAGAAAGCCTCGTCTTTCTCCCGCTGAGTTGCTAGTGGTTTCGAACTGCTGACTTTACAGATAGCAGCCCAATTTGTAACCACTGCACCACCAGGGGCGCCTTTAATTCCACCATCAGAATTTAAATGGCAACAACCTAGCTCCACAGCCTGCGTTTCACTCCTTGTACTTTCATTGTGCTCCTCCTTCACTGCTGATGGTGCCAGTAATCATGACAGCTAAGGGAACATGGCCAAAGTCTTCTATTAAAGACTCATCCTACAATTTCTAGTTATTTTTCCCCAGGGCACCGTCATGTTTTTATTAGTCTCCTATAGGCAAGAAGGCTGAGTGATAGGAAAGTTAAGCAACCATAAACAGTAAGATAATTTGAGGGGGGAAACTGTGATTTGAATTTAAAGTCCGATCTCTTATGCCAGAAGTTGTGTTCCAGTTTGAGAATGAGGCCAATAAAAAAAACCAACTCTCACATTCCAAGGGAACAGAGACAAGTAGCAAGATGATGACAGTGCAGGATTAAAGAGCATATGATGGAGATAAGAAAAGCATATTCATGAAACATTGACAACAGCAACAAATCAGGAAATACATCTCGAATCGGCTATAAGGATCACTGAAAATCATATATTTATATAACATTGTTGTGAGGTGTCTTCGACTGGACATTCGTTGCAAACCTGTGTACAACTGAACAAATCATCGCCTGGTCCTGGGGCATCCTCAAAATCTGTTCTCCTGGTAAAGCCCACTCACGCCGCCACTGTGTCAACTTAATCTTGTGGAAGGCCTTCCTGTTTCACTGCCCCTTCTCTTGACCAAACAGAATGTCCTTCTCCAGAGACTGGTCTCTCTTGATAACATGCCCAAAGCACATGAGACCAAGTCTCACCCTCCTTGCCTCTAAGGAGCATACTGGCTATACTTTTGGCAAGACAGATCTATTTATTCTTTTGGGAGTCAATGACACTTTCAATATCTTCACCAACACCATAGCTCAAATCCACCAAGTTTTCGTTGATCTTCCTGATTCAATGTTCAACTTTCATATGCATATGAAGCCATTTGAAAATACCAAGGATTGGGTCAGGCACACCTTCGTCCTCAAAGTAACCTCTTGGCTTTTCAACATTTTAAAGAGGTCTTGGCAATAAATTCACTATAATTTTGGGGGGAAAAAAATCTTTAGATCAGTGGTTCTCAACCTTCCCTAATGCCGTGACCCTTTAATGCAGTTCCTCATGTTGTGATGACCCCTAACTATAAAATTATATCCATTGCTACTTCATCACTGTCATTTTGCTACTGTTATAAATAGAGCAAACCCTGCAAAAGGGTCGTTCAACCCCCAAAGGGGTTGTGAGTTGAGAACTTCTGTATTAGATGAGGACAATAATTTATTTTTATTATTTATCATTATCTAATAAATAGCAACCCCAATTTTCAAATTTATAATTTACTAACTCTATAGCCCATTTTACATATTTTTCTCAATAGATCTTTCATGCAAGATATGTTCATCTCTATCTATACAGTACCTGCATGAGTTGGTGTGTTACAGTTGAATAGAAAAACAAATTGATACATCCCTATGTGTGTAAAAGAGAACTTTATATCAAAGAGCAATTGTACATTAAGAAAACATACAAGGCAGGTCCACATCAAGTCCATAAGTCTGATAATAATCCATATTGTAAATTCCTCTTCAGACTCATGCAACACATGCAATGACACTGAATACAGGAAGATATCAAGCCAGTGGGTGGGAAGTCTTGTGGCTCCAGTGGCGGTGGAAGCACCTCAGCAATGGCCTGGGTCTCCACGTAGCTCCTCCAGCTCCAGGGCTCAGGCTGCCATCAGCTAGGCTCCATGGATCTTGTAAGCAGGCATGTGCAGCAGAGTGTATCTGGCCTCCAGTGAGCTATTTATCTCCTTCAAGCCTCCAAATGAGGTCATCAAGCTGTGACCTGATTGAAAGGCTGGACTCCACCCCTTTGAAAATTGACAGATTATATAACTGCCACAGATGGTATCTAAAAAAAAAAGAGTATATTATAGTATAGTGTAGTATGATTTATTAAGGTATCCTTAATAAATAGAATGTATCTATTAAATGATCCTTAAAAACTAAGATAATTATCCTGGAAAAACCACATCCCGGGATATCACTCTTGTAATGGAATGCTTCTTGCTGTCTCCCACTTGTGTATCTGCCTTACTCATTTCTATATCTCATGCTTTTAATTATAAACTTTTTGAGGACTGTAACCTGAGTTTTATATATTTATTTCACTCAAAATATCCCAGATATGATATGTGGCTAATACCTGAACAGCAATTTTAGATCATTTTGTTCAGATATAATTTGTGTATTATACAATTCAATAATTCTATAATATTAACAAAAGGTTGTGGAATCATTATCTGGAATCATTAGCAACATTTTCTTCTTCCTTATACCCCTTGGGAGGGGACCTGGTAGAATTTTGGTTATGTTTTGGACAGCAAACAGCAAGGTCAGCAATTTGAAAACATACGCAGCTCTGAGAGATCAATACGAGGCTCTGGCACATAGAAACTATGTCAAAAATGCCAAGTTCAAAACACAATAACAGGCATGTGTTCCCTTTAGGGTCTAAGAGGGTAATGTTAATTCTCTGATACAGACATGGCTGCTGTTCATCTTGACTCATTCCTCTTGTTGGAATGTCTGTTTGCGATGGCTTTAGAACACTGCTGTATGGCAGGGATTGATGGATTTTTTTCCTTCTCCATCATCCGGAGGGAGGCCACCTCTCTTGAGCTAGTTGTTAAGATGCTCAAATAAGGGGATTATATATGGCTTATGGGAACAAGAAAAGCACACTACCTCATTGTTTGGGAGACCAGATTAGAAAACCTGGAAACAGAAACCTGTTTTGCCTTAGTTTGTGTCCATATAGTAGTGGACTCACACAACATTTGTCCTTTGGGGCTTGACTAACTGCCCTCACCATAATGACTTCAAGGTCCCCCCACATGGTGAGCTGTTTCATGGTTTCATTGCAGGCCTTTTTCTTTGTTTGTTTCATTTTGTTTTGATTTTAGGCATGCATAGTATTCTATTGCATATATTTACCAGAATTTCTTTATTCTTCAACTCATGGGCCTTTGGGCTGTTTCTAGCTTCTTGCTATTTTGAACAGTGTTTCAAAGGCCATGGGAGTGCATATGTCTGTTCTTATCCTGTCTTTTAATTCTTTGGAGTATATGCACAATAGAAGTATTACTGGGTCATTTGATATTTCTATTCCCTGTTGCTTCATGAAACACTCTATCGCTTTCCACAGTGGTTGTACATATTTGCATCCCCACCAGTAGTGTATGAGATTTGCAATTTCTCTATACCCTCTCCAGCATTTGTTGAACAGCAAACTTTTAATAAATTTTTAAATAAATTATTTCAGTTATATATTATCTCCTTTGACTTTTTCCAATAATTTTAAGAGGTAGGCACTTCCAAATTTCCCTGCTTTTTTAATATGAAGAAGTCTAAGAATAAGTTTTATTACTCATCCAAGGGCATATAATCTTAATACAAATTTTTATGTTCCAGAATTTTGTTTCCTAAAGTTTACTACTTTCTGTCTATTCACTGTAAAAACAAAATAAAACCTTTGCACACAGGCAGAGCATCTTTTAGCAACTGTTTGCTAATAATAATCATATTTCTTTTCATCATCAAGGTTCCTCTTCAGCAGCTAATCTGAGCAGTTAGATGAATTGCCCATCTCTAATATGCTGATACGGTTCATTAGAATAGTCTGTTTGTAACATTAGACTGAATATTGTGAGTGCAGGCACAACAGGTATTCATGTCATTCATGAGAGGTTTTTTAAAGATGGGAAGTGGAGAAAGTATTTGTCCTTCTGATGCCACCAGCCTCTACTGCCGTAGCTGCTCTTTGTGCCTCTCAGCTTCAAATTTTAAAACAAGAAAAACAGGTGGCTACTTAGTTAAATAATTTAATAGGTATAAATAGGAGTATAAATTGGAGCTGAATAATATAATGAGTATAAATGGTACAATTTCACTTGTGCAACATAACTCAGTTTTCCTTCTTTAATCCATGGTTTATGAATGCTGACATGGTTTATGACTAATGACGCTGGCACTATGATTTCCCCTTAGTACCCTGTGCAGTTGAAATTTACATGGCCCTATTTTTTCTGTTTGTTCTAATGAATTAATCATAAACACTAAAAAGACTAGACCAAATACATCTAGGCTTTTGACTAATTAGAAATTTAATTATCATTTTCAGGCTTATGTGGAGAAGATTTTTATGTTCCCTTTAATTTTAGAAGCAAAATTGGAGCTAGATTAACATGCATCCAGAGAATACAATAAAACTTCTAAAGAGGATAAGAGGATACATTTTATATTCTCTTATAGAGACAGCAGATATTTGGAATGTTATTTCTTCTCCATCGAAACTCTAAAAATTGAGACTCGGCTTCTGCTCTTTATCTCATGGGGTAACCCATGCACTGGATGGTGCCATAAATCCCTCTGTGTCTCTTTAGAACCATGAGAAATAGGGTGGCTATTTGTGCTTTCTTTTTGCAGGGTGTAGATAGACTGTCTGGATTTACTTTTTGAGAAAAAAGTAAATCAAGCTTCTGTTCATCACTTAAATAAGATCTCCCTTTCTCTGGCTTTTTTGTCAGTCTTTGAAAAACGATGAGCAATCCTCTAAAACGGATGTCCAGAAGCTCCTGGAATTAGGCCAGAAACAAAGGTAAGACTGTGTTTTCTCCTCAACTATCCAGAATGGCTTGTGGTATGATTTCATTTTTCCCTCTACTCTTTGTAATGAACTTCAGACAGTGAGGCCATGATCAAGGGCAACAGTTAAAAGGAGTGATGCACTTTTGGTTCTTTAACGTCACATAAAGCATTCGTTTATGCTTTCTATCCTTTACCAGCAACGGGGAAGTAAGTAGATAATTAAGTTCATAACTTTACAATAAATAAATCCTAGTGAAGTTTCAGAATGTGTTTAACATACTAGTTATTCTGAAACAGAGCTTCCCATATTTGAATGTGCTTATTATTCATTTAGAGGTCTTGTCCAAATATATATTTTCATACTCTAGATTTGAAGTGGAGCTTGAGGTTATGTATCTCTAATATGCCCTGCTGTTGCTGATACTTTATATATATAATCACAATTTGAATGTTAAAGATCAACAGTGTTTTAACTCTATTTAACAGTAAAATATCCCTGGATAAATCTGCTTATTGAAAGGCATTTTAAGTAACTCTTTATTAATGGAATCAAACTTGATCATGGTGATGATTGTAGTAAAGAATATGTAATTTTATTACTCACATATGTAGACCTAATATAATAGTGTTTGTGGTTTTATTTTTATTTTAGTCTATTTTTGAGAGCAATGTATTATAAAATAGTGTTCTACACTTTATAAAGGACCATATGATTTTGAAGTTACTTGTCAAAGCAAAAAGGAATATGAAGCCAAGACAATTTAAGGAAGAAACAAGAAAATATGTTAGGCATTTATTGGAGATTCAAATGGATGATTTATATACGTTGTCTTGTTGAATTCTCACAAAAAAAAAAATCAGAAGCAAACTCACTGTCACTGCATTTATTACAACTCATCGTGAAGAGCCCAAATAGAAATTTTGAGTCTCCAACATTTACAGGTGCAGAGAGACTCATGTTTCTCCAGCAGAGGAGCTGGTAGGTTTGAACCACCCACCTTGTGGGCAGTATGCTTAATGTATAACTTAGATATTATGAATTCCCCTTTTTAGAGATAGTGTATTATTGTTGGAGCTGCTGAGATGTATGTTAATTGAAATTTAGGTTTTACACTTAGTCACAACTTTCAGAGTAGCAGAATTATTACAAGTGAAGATGCTTAGAAAGTCCACAGGCACGATGCTTTGTGCAGTTGATTCTAAGTCCCTTCTCAGTGCCCTACAGCTTTTCCCTGGCTTCACGTCTCGACCAGGACCCTCTTCCTGACATACATTTGCATTAAGCTAGCAAGCTGTGTTAAAACTTCAGGGTTTTGTTGGTTATTATATTTCAAATGTACAGTTTTTAATTTTTTTAGCATAAGTGTCTTCAAAGTAAAATATTAAAACAATGTGGGGTAAATATGAATGCTGATCTGAAAATATGTTTTCTGAAGTGCATCATTATAAAGGACTCCATAAGTCTGAAATACACCTTTTAACACACCTATAACTATAAAACAAGTTCTTTGGCTCTCTGAGAGTGATGAGTAACTATACATGACACTGAATAGAAATGTCTACCTAGAGGACACCAAAGAACACTGAAGGTGACTGCCTCAGAGAGAGCATTTCCTGTTGGGAAAGGAGGGTCAACAAAAGCATCAAGATGGACATGACCTCTGTGCTGTACATATGACCGCAACGAGGGGCTGTGGAGATTGAACAGACAATGAGTCCGGAAGATCAGACAGTGAACCCAGATGCCTAAGGTGGAAGCAGATGTAAAAAAAATATTAAATGTTGGACAAATTGGACACATTTAAGTAAGCAACTGAGAGTACATTTAAGGTAGCACTGTAGGAGAATGATATAACAAAAGCAGCATTTTAAGGTAATTATTCTTCCCCTGTGTGCAGAGTAGAAAGCAAAGCCCCTTGGCTGCATGAGAAAAGAGGGTCTATAAATGGGAACAGTAACATCACCATAACCAGAACCAGGGAATAAAAGGAAAGAATACTGTTCCAGGCTTTCTGCATCCAAAGAGCATTGCAGATGAGGAAGCAGGCTTTTCCATGAGATAGCTAAGAAAAAAAATATTTTTATAGTTTGCTGATATTTTCTTGAATTAAATATGGCTTTTCCTACTTGACACACGAAAGACTCAAGTCAATGAGAGAAATTTTGGATAAACTAATTAAAAAATAAATAATATCATTGAGACTTTGGGCATAGCATATGAACTATCCAGTAGATTGAACAAATATTTAAATGAAAGAACTAAATGAAGCAAACACTGGGAAGTTTTTAAAAGTTTATGAAAAATTTCCATTTTCTTTTAATTTTATTTTTCCCATGAAATATTTTGTTTCTAAGTGTTTTGATGTTGTGATTTCAAAATATTTTGTAAAGTTAGAAAATTTGTTTAAAATATATAACATATTACGTAATTAAAATCACAATAAAGGCTCAATACTTTCTAACAATTGGTGATGACTTAGTGATGTAATATTTGCTATATGAAATTTTGCTGTTTATTTAGAAATAGAAATATAAAAATCAGGTGTATTTTCAGTGTGAAGAAGAATCAATATCTCATTTCCAAAACTGGATGTCAGTGAAGAGGCAAAAACAGAAAATATATTCATAGGATGTGAAAAGTATTAATTGATTAGAAATTTGGAAGGATTAGCTGTATCTTAAGGCATGCAATGTGTTGTCAATTTCAAGGGGCCATATATCTAACTCTCACTAATGCCCTTTGGATTCACATTACCATACTTGGTCTGAAGGAGCTGTCCATAAACATTATCCTTCGTTCGTGTGTTCTGATGCCCCTGTCCCATTGACGGCCTCAAGTTAGCTATTGGGAAAGCCCACTTAGGACTCTCACCAGGAGGCAGGTAACTAGTGTCCCTGTTTAATGGACACTAGCACTGTAAATGAGCTCAATGGATATGGATTTACCTTCTAGAATCATGCAGGGAGAGAAACAGAAATTGCCAGGAAAGAGGGACACTAATTGAGCCCGGGCAGTGACTCTTTGTAGTTTGAGAAGATAGGCTCTAGAATTGCGGCTTGGGTGGGCATGACATTGCACCACCTCTGTAGACATGGGTTTTCTATCTGCAATAGGGCACCAGCAATGTGAGACTTAGCAAGTGCTTTCACATGGTGAGCCTGTCTACATGCAGCGATTGCTATTTTATTTTACATTATGTCACAGTGCTCTCTGTGGAAAATATAAGCAATGATCATGGAGGCCTGGATTTTTATTGCTGATCTATGAAATAAGTCTAAGAAATTAATTCTTGTTGAGGCAGTAATAAAAGTTGAAGCAAAAAATCCATTATAAGCAAAAATTTGTTATGATAAGCTTTGGCTAACCAAGCAGTAAACCATCCTAAAGCTAAAGGATCTGTAATTATTCTTTAATATGTTCCAATTGTATTTTGCTTTGTAAAAAAAGTTCAACTTGATTCCATTAACTTTACATGATCTCATGTATATGCTTGAAATTGAGACGTGTAGCAATTAAGAGTTTCTGGAGTCAGAAATGTGGGCATCTCATTAACTCCCTGTGGGTGACAGAGCAGCTTGTAGTTGTTTAGGAAATGTAGGCAAATAATAAACAGAGGGGCCTAAAGTGGCTGTTGGTGGAAAAGTTAATCACCGAAATGATATTAAGCTATTATTTTTCACCCATCATGCTATGTGCTTTCCTGCATTTGCTTTATAATCACAAATCTTTGACGTAGATTTATCATTGTGGCAGTTCTATAGACAAGGAAACGGAGTCTGAGAAATTTGCATTACTTGCCTAAGCTCCTGAGCTAGTCCTTCGGTGTCCTATTGGAAGAGTTAAACTAGGCTCAGTGGTTATGATAGACAGGGTTCTCTACAGAAAGAAAACCAGCACACTAATAATTATATAAAGATATAGATAACATAAGAAATAAACGGTTAATTAATCTATAAAGCAGTACAAATGGCTCAATACAACTCATTCCTGGGAGACAGTTGTGAGACACTGGCAGTCCTTCAAGTCTGGAGGGCCTCTGGGTAGTCCTCTGTAGAGCAATTCAGGCTATCCAGGCACAGGCAGCAAACAGCAAGGCAGGTCACCAACAGTTAACCAGATGACAGGGTCCAACAATCCCTAGTTTAAGAGATGTAAATTCCAGTAGCTTGGCGAAGGAGGTCTTGAAGGAACCTCAAGTTACAGCGACACAGTCCATGGGTTACGTGTCACACAGGTAGTATAGCTTGCAAATTGAGGCGAAGAACAAGCAAGGCAGCCGCACACTGGTCCGATGATGAAAAAGCAAGAGACAAGAAGGGTGAGGTTCACTGAGCCATTTATCTGTCTGCCCTTCAGTTAATCCCACATGCATTCATTGACCAGGTTAACACAGTAAACCTTCCTATCACAGTGGTGTTAAGACTAGAGCAAGTGTTGGTGGTGTTTCTGTTGCTTTAAGATAATTTATTCCTCTACCCAGTATTTACACACACACACACACACACACACACACACACACACACACACGCACTCATACATGCACAAAACCTTATCTAATTTCTGATCATTTGGAGTTCTGGGTTACATGATTTAATCAGGCCACAGAAAGATAATATGGTTTGCCATAAATTAGTAAAGCCTTGACTGTTAGTAAATATGCATATTTCTACTTTTGTCAAGTTTATCCATCACTCATAGTTACTGATGAGCTTGAGATACAATATGTGTAGGTATACAGATGCACACATATATACTGAGGTTGGAGAGGAGGTGCAGAACAGAGATAGAATTTAGCCAGGAATGTGGAGTTGAGAAAGATTTTATTGAGCCCCCAGGCAATTCTGAGACCCAATGAGTTAGGTCAGGGAACTCATGTCTTGTTGGAAAGGTGGTGGGAGTTATATGGGGTCTGAGCTAAGGAAGTATATGTTAACAGAAGGGGGTGGGTCTTTATTGCTTTATTGCTTGCAGCTGCAGGGCCTTAAGTCTGATGCTGTCCATGGGAGGTCATCTTGTAAGTGCTGAGGGAAGTGGCTACACAGATCAACCAGGGAAGGTAAAAAGCTACCTGTGGTGCTGGGGCAGGAGTTGCATAGTTCAATAAGTTATCCATTTCCTGGAGAGGCTGGGAATGGGGGTTGTGAACTTTCATCTTCCTGAGAAGCCAGAGGGGATGTGGGGGCCTCCAGGTCCAGACCCGGCCCAAACATATACATTTGTGTATATGAAAATGTGTATGTAGCTGCTAACACACGAGTCAAATTTACAGGGCGAAATGCATCTATTTTCATTTTGTTTTTTTAAAAATTGATAGGGTTTATAAATGATCCCTAAAAACACAATTTTTTAGAAACAATCTACTTAGGATATTGAAAGGGAATAGTAATTTTAACCAGTCAGCCATGTTGAGTCATTTTTTCTCACAGGCTTTTTGTAGTCTGGCATGCTGCTAGTGAATGTAGCTTTGCAACTCAAATTAGGATATTGACTTTATCTAACAGTTTATATAGCTCACAGATAATTTACACAGTTGACTCTCCTCAGTGCCATTAGCAAGGTGATTTCTGTTAAACTCAGCTTGCTTTTAGAATTTACAAGGGAAAATAGACATTCATTATCAGTTTCAGTATTTATTGGTTATATGCTTGATAGTGGCTCTATAGAATTCTATTTATCTGTTTCCTAAATGTTGGTAGAAAATCAAAACCTCAATCCCTACTGTACAGATGAAATAACAAAATTATGTCTTTCTTTCTGTTTGTTTTCTTTAAACTAGAGAAGAAATGAAGTCTCTTCAGGAGGCCCTTCAAAATCAACTAAAAGAGACATCTGAGAAAGCAGAAAAACACCAGGCTACTGTAAGTGTGCTTCTCTCTGTGCTTTTGCTTTTAGGTCTGTGAAATGCTACTTTCTTTTTTCAAACGTGATAGAATAAGCACACCTGAAAAATAAAAACACAATATAAGAAATTTGAGTCTCCATGAGCTGAAAGACAAAACAAAACAAAAAGCCAACTCAATCAGCATCCCTGGCAAGAGAAATGCTGAATTTAATTCTTGAAGGTCTTTTAATGCTTGACTCTGATTTTCTGAATGAGAAACCAAGGTGAAATATCAGTGAGCTAGGAACTTGACTGTTTTAAGAATTGAGTTTAGTATCTGATTCTACTTTGTTTATATTTATTTCTTCTGCTTATTATTATGGATATAAGGATTTATAGAAATGTTTATTGGGGAGTTTGAAAATAAAGAGCTTGTATGTCCACTTGCTTTGAGACATTAAAATTTGACCTTTAAAAGGCTCTGAAGAGATAAGCCCCACCCAGTACTTTGGAGTGCTCAGGACATATGCATCCCAAGAGACTTGCCTGTGGGTAAGATTGACAGATTGAACAAAAAAGGAACTCTTTGGAATTTGAAGTTTGAACTAGTGGTCTTTGCCAGAAGCTGGAAGAAAAATCTGGAACCATGAAGAAAACTCCTTTCTAGGACTGAAGTTTAAAGGAAGCCTGTGGGAAAGCTGAAATGTTTGCTAGGTGACCACCTGAATCCACTCGTTGAGTGGAAGTGGGAGAAATGCAGCAATGAAGAGACAGGTTGAGTCTGGCCACTGACACCCATGTACCTGGTTTACAGGAACTCGAGGAGAAGACAAGAATAGGTTGATTGGTCTGAAGTTCAAGGGGGCTAGACCTATTGAAAAGTTGTGATGGGGTCATGGTCTAAAGACAAAGTAACCAATGGGCACCCTGATGGGGCTAAGTGAGGCAGCCCACTTTGTGTTGACCAGAACCTGACTAGATGAAGATAAGCTATTTGAGCCTGTAAACTGATGAACAGGCTTTTCGGACAGGACAGGGTGTCCTGACTTTTGACTTTGCTTATGGATGTGGATTTCACAAAGTTCCAACAGGAATGAAGATTCTTCATGTTGAGCATTGGGTTGATTTAAGTGGCCAGTATAGAAATTGGATACTCAAAATGGAGGAATAAAACATGAAGTGATTGACTTACAAACTTTCATAGATAAGGGAATATACTCATAGGATTATAGGATTGAGATGTAGGTGTTACTTAACTGCAGTTGTTTGGCACAGGATATTTTTTGTTTTGTTCAATTATAGAATGTTATGTTTAAATGAGGATGACATATTGCATTATATACCTTTAAGTTTTATCCTGTTAGGTACAGATATGATTTATTATTGTTTGTTTGAAAATTATATGTGACTAAAGAGTTATGTGAAAGTGTCAAATTGACAAGGGTTAGTCTATGGTAGTTACATAATCCAGTGTCAATTTGAGGATTAAGAGTGTAAGGGTGGAATCTAGCCAAGATAAAGCCAATGAGGCCTCAGTGTGGGCATGGCCTTCCCCTGAGGATTCTGGGAAATCCTGATTTTCCTCCTTGGAGGAGGGAGAGACTCTCTCTCCTCTCACTCCCTGGAAGACACTCTACTGACAAGACACATGGAACTATGCTAGAGCCCTTAGCTAGAGAAGCTATGTGGAGACCCCAGCCCACACTGAAATGCTTACACCACCACCAGATCCAAAGACTTTCTACCCCTTGGCCTGTAATCATCCTGCATTCGGCATTATTGCATGTGTTTTGTGAATCCAAAGAGGACTTTATGGATCGGTATCGGACATATGGGCTCATATCGGACTTATAGGCTTGGACTGGACTGGGTTGGGATATTTTCTTAATGTACAATTACTCTTTATATAAAACTCTCTCTTGTGCACATATAAGTTTGTATGGATTTATTTCTCTAGTCTCCCCAGACTAACACAGTACTTAACAACACACTTGAAAACTGGACTTCTTTGTTCTCCAGACATTGTACCTACCTTAGGCATCATTTATGGGGCCTGGACCTTTTATCTTGTTTCCTTGGCCATAATTTCCATAGAAGTAAATTGCTTGAGACCCAGGTATGAATTGGCAGCCTGTCTTCCTATTTCAAGATTTCCTTTAGCAGCCTTTATTAAGGTATGGAGTTATGCTTCTGAAATTCAGCCATGTCTGTTATCTTAGACACTTGCTTCCTGGGGACAAGCTTTCTAATAAGGATTGCTGACTTCCTGAGGGCTGTGATTGCTTCCTGTTAATGGATTTGCTGTTATCAGGTTTGCTCACCTGTAAGGATATGCATGTTGTTTCTCCTTTTCTGTCCTGTGCCAACATCGACTGTGTACTGAAATGCATCCTACTATCTGGGTCGTTGGAAACCAGATGTTACTTACTAGAATAGACAAGTTTTCAGCATCAGTATCCCAGCCTTATATGTAGCCTTGATTGTAATATCATATCTGCCTTGATATACTAGATTTGACTTGAAATTTTCAATTGCCTGTCTATAAAATATAAAGCATAGCAGAAGGGTTCATATATATTTTTCTCAGATTCTCACATTATTTATAGAGTTAAAATTTTATTTTCTGAAAAAAAATCAGAGTCTATTTGTCCTTAACTTGTATTTATAAAGTTAATAGATAGAGGAGCCAAGGCAAATTAGGTATGAACCCATAATGAATCCCATATTTATAAAAACATGCAGCTAACATCCAAGGAACTGAAAGGTAGACATTTTGAAAGAACAAAAGCCAAGGTTGAAATGTCTGACAGTAGGAAATAATATGGGTAGGAATGTGTATTAGTCCCCTATGCCCAGCAGAAGGACACATTGTTTGGACTTGCAGCATCCTCATAATCATAGTCATGCTTAATCTCTTCTAATAGCATGTCAACAATAGGGGAGACAAAATCTAGCCATCCTTACTTCCAAGGATTATTCTGGCTTTACTTTTTTCCCAAGAGAATTGTTTATTATAGCAGTCAATAATATTTTCAATATTTTTCATTAGCACAATAATTCAAATGAATATATTCTCCCTTGATCTTCCTTTTTCAATATTCATTTCTCCCCGGCTTATGAGGTAATTGAGAAATACCACAATCAGGTGCACTCTAGTTCTCAGAGTGTTATCCTTCTTCTTCAACCCTTTCAAGAGACTTGTGCAGCATATTTACCCAATGCAATAATTTTGTTTCGGTTTCTTTACTGCTGCTTCTCTGAATGTGTATGAAAGCAAATGAAAAATGTGACAGGTTTTGTGTCAATTTGAGTACGCCAGAGTTCTCTCATGACATGACCTAGCATAGTCTGGGCAGCTCGGGGATGGGATCTTCTCTGAAGCAGCCAAGCTGTGGTGGAGAAAGTGTCATTCAATAACACTGAGAGGATTCATAGACTTCCTTACTCTGATCACAGTGTTAATACAATTGAGTGAGGTTTCATTCACAGTGTGGCCTAATCTTAGTATGGATGGACAGTGTGTGTAAGCTGCAATTGTCATGGTAGGCAGTTTGAAACTACTAGCAGCACTTTGGAAGAAAGACTGGGCTTTCTACTCCTGTAAACAGTCACAGTCTAGGAGATCCAAAGAGGTGTAGCTATGAATCAGCCCTCACTTGATGGCAGTGAGTTCCTTTGGGCCTTTATACACTAGCTCCTGTCTCCTGCTAGATTTGGATAGTTTATCAGGTTTGTCGATCTCCTGTTATCTGTCCTGCTGACTCCAGGAGCCATCAGCTTACTGCTGATGGTGGATTCATTCAGCCAATCTCAGGTTTATTCAGCTTAGTAGGCACCAGCCTTTGGTCTCCTGGTTTCATCTTCTTGAATCCTGTTCACTACCCACGGTAGCTACAGAGTCAGAAGTCTTCAGCTTACATCTGACTCACAGACTTGAACTGGGCTGGACTTACCACTTCTACATCTGTGTGAGCCATTTCTTGATATAAATTTATTTCTATGTACATAGATAGACCAGAATCACTGGTCTATTTTTCTGGAGAACACAATCTAATACAAAGTCACTGGCACATTTAATGTTTCCCCTGTTGATCATGATGCCATCTATTGGTATAGTTACAAGCATTTTGGCTTTCTTTACATTGAGTTGTAACCCACACTGCAGGTTGTAGTTAAGGATATTTATCAGCAAGGGCTTCAAGACATCCTTAGTTTCAATAGACAAGATTGTGACATCAGTATATTGCAGGCTGTTCTCAAGCTTTCTTCCATTCCTAATGGCTCATTCTCCTTCAGATAGTACAAATTCTCAGATTATCTCCTCAGTATAGAGATTAAATAAGTATATCAAAAAGATACAACCCCGATGCACAACTTTCATGATTTTATTTTAATTTTTTATTTTTTTAAACATTTTATTAGGGGCTCATACAACTGTTATCCCAATCCATACACACATCAATTGTGTAAAGCGCATTTGTACATC